TTAATTTTTCCGCATTAGTTTTTATTCTCATTGATTGATTTACTTGTGAGGAATCACATATTTTCCCTAACAGTCAAATGTACAAAGGTAATGGATAATCAAGATTTCTCTAAGTGTTAGACTAATCTCTTGAATTCAGAAAATGAAATCTTAAACTTAATTCTTGAAGAAAATTTTGAATGAAAAATACTAAGGCGGTTTATATAGGCACATAGAGGAGTTTTTCTTCTAAAAAGTAAAAGTTTGTGGGTGTGTTTGTTTTTGATTATTTATTGGCTGGACATTATGTTGGATTTAACAAAAGTAATTTGGTGTGATTCTACCGTCCACCTATAATTTTTGGTTATCCGTTGCTACCTTGGTCTTGTATTTGTCTTTGGATTTTTATTAGTGAGTGTGTTAGTGTCAGGTATTAATTTTTGGCCAGTCAAAAACACTGTTAGGTGCTACAATGGGTGTGTTAGTGGGTGTGTTAGTGTCAACTGTTAATTTGTGTGTTAACTGTGGCCAACGTTTTAGCTAGCGAAAGAAGAGAGAGATGTGTGCCTGGAGAAGTTCTCCCGGACGTCTGGTTGGAAGTCCCCCCAGACGTCCCGTCTGAAGTCCACCCTAGACGTCCAGACCCTTCAAGAAAAAAAAAATAATAATAAAATAGGTTTGACCAATTGACCGACTGGACGTCCGACCGGTCAACTGGCAGTCAACTAAATTTTTTTTTTTTTCACTTGTTGGGATTTTTTTTTTGGGAGGGGGGGCTTGATATTTTATTTTGGACTTGAAATTTTTTATTTAATTAAATTATTTATTTATTTTATTTATTATATATACATATATATATGTCCTTAACACACCCCTTAATACATCCATACAAAAAAAAAATCATTTGAGAAATTTTTGCATGCAGATAGAGTACATGTCATGTGGTACATTTTATTATTATAATTGACTTTAACAGTAGGATCTACTATATTTATGTTGAGTGTTTGGGGAACAATAGTGGACATATATATTTGTGATTAGTGGAAGATAGTGCCACGTGGTACTCTATTGACATACAAAAAGTTCTTCATTTTTGAATCCCACTTATATCACTTTTTATTATATAACATACCTTAACACATTTTTTTAACCACCCCACTGTGGATGCTCTTAGACCTCCACTTCTCATCTTTGTTTTTCTCTCTCTTAATTCTCTCTTTCATCTTTTACATCTTTTACATCGGCAATACGTTCCATCACAGAGTTCTGTTAATACGTTCCATCGCAGAGTTCCGTTTCCGCCAACGAGAAATCCACCGCTGTTGTTTGTTTGTCTCTCTAAATACAGTCTCTCTCTTTCTAAATACTAGCATATTACCCGTGCTATGCACGGATTGTGTTTATGTGAATTGTGATTTTTTAATGTTTTTTTCTCTTTTTTTTTTAATGTTTTCTTTTTTTCCTTTTTTTATATTATATTAAAGTTTAATATTTTGATAATAATCATATGTGTTGGACTTTTCAAGGAATTAAATGTCTTTTTTTTTATTATATTATATTAAAGTTTAATAGTTTGATAATAATCATATGTGTTGGATTTTTCAAGAAATTTTTTTTATACTTGTTCTTAATGCATTAAAGTGTTATTATGAGGAATAATTATCATATGTGTTGGGACTTTTCAAGGAATTTATGTGTTGGATTTCAAAGAATTTTTTTTATGCTTATTCTTAATGCATTAAAGTGATATTATGAGGGTAAGACTTGAGAGTTGGAAGAAGCTAATAAATGCTAAGATTTTTTTTTTTAAATCAAAAAATCAAGAAATTTAGATTGAGAGATTAGAGCTCCCACAAGGCTTGGAGTTAAAAATCCCATTTTGCTTAATATATAGTATAGATAGTCCTAAGTAGGGAGAGAAAGAAGGGATGCCTTCGGTTCCATTTTTGGCTTTACAGCTACGAGATTTGAGTTCGGTTCCATTTATGGCGGCGAGAACTGAGTTTGCAGCGAGATGTAAGCTCCATTTGGACCATCCGATTGAGCAATTCTTCATTAACATCATTGATATAGATATAGATATCAATATACATGTTTGTTTGATGTCTCTCTCTCTCTCTCTCTAGATCTGAGTTTTGTAGTTGTTTATGTTGATGATGATGATGAGATGAAACAGATTGCAATACATTAGTTTTTTTTTTTTTTCCCTCTACTTTCTTCTTCTTCTTCTTCTTCTTCTTCTTATGGACAGATTTAAAAAAAAAAAAATTGAATTGCTATTTTAACAGATAAAAAAATTTAATAAATAAAAAAAATTGTACAAATAAAATTTGGACAGAAAAAAATTTGAATAGATAGGTGTAAAAATTCAACAGATTGGGTGGTAAATTTTAATGAATAACAAATTTTTGAACAATAAGAGGAAAAATTTTGAATTGAAAATATTAAAAAAATAAACTGATAAGAAAAAAATTGAACAAATGGAGAAAAAAATTGAACAAATTGTGAAAATTTTGAACAGATAGGAAAAAATTTAAACAAGTAGTTAATGAAAGTTAACAGATAAAAAAAAAGTTTATAAATAAATTTAGAGGTAAAATTAAAAATAAAACGTCTTTCAAAATAAATAAATAAAAATTTCATCAAACTATTTCACAATAATTAGATTTTTTACTAAGGCCTCGTTTGGGAACAAGCTTTTCTAGTAACTTTTTGATTTTTTGACTAAAATATGCTGTAAAAAAATTAGTATGTTTGGAATGACTTTTTGACTTTTTACCAAAAAAAATGTGGAAAAAGTAAAAATAAAAAAATAAATCTTTGACTTTTTAATATAAATTGTTGACTTTTTAATTTTTTTAATAACTTTTTTCCTTTTTAACTAAAATCATCACTTGTCAAATGAGGCGTAAACAAAAAAATATTTTTTAGACCTGATGTTTTAGATATACTTTTCAACAATTATCTCACATACAAATGGTCCCTAATTTTTTCATTAATAAATTGAAGAATAAAGCTTCCGACCCCAGTGGGGGTGTTGGGAGTCGTGCGTGTCCCACTAATTGGCCAAAAAAAAAATATTTCTTTTTTTTTGTTTCAACAAATAGCACAGCACCACATCACTGGAAGTGCGACCCCACTGGGATATGAAGCACGGCTATAAATTGAAACGCACAATACAATGATAAAATTTTATGCAATCTGTTACTGGGCTTCGCCTCATCACCTCACTGCAGCTTTTTCTAGGATGTTCTTCAATGTACTTACAAAAATAAATAAATAAGAAAGAATAAAATTTTTACTTAATATTCTCATTTAAAAGTCAACGAAATTTCAACTGTTCATTTATTTCTTTAAAGAGAAATCATTTTAAGTGCTAGAGGGGTATTTTCTTTTCCTGTGTTGCAATTAGTGACTACTAGCATACTATAAATGTCAAGATCTATATACTATTATATAAACGCAGAACAGAAATCATTTAAGTGGGACAATATATTTTTACATTATATAAAATAATTATAGATACGTATTTCAATTTACATTTTCACATATTTTGCAATATACTTTTTAAAATAATTTTATATGCATTTACACACACACATGCACATAAATACATAATATAGACAGTTCTCTAAAAAAACATACATAACACAAACATTGAACGAATTTAGACCAATAATTTATTGGGCTCAATTTGTTCTGCTCAGCCCATTATTCCACCACTTTTCTTAAGAATAACCTTTTCTGTGTCTGACAGCTAAACGAGTCCAAAGGACACTTTACGTTTAGAAGCCCATTTAAAGTGTGGACTACCACCCAGTTTGAACTAGGGCCCCGTTTGTTTTGGGCTATAAGAAGGGTATTGGGACTAGTAATACCAAGGTATTACTAAAGTCCCTGTTTGTTTGCAGAGAAAGTCTTGGGACTATCAGTCCCTTGGTATTGCTAATACCCTTGAAGGGGGATTGGTAAGGAGGAGGTAGAGATGGTATTAGGAAATAGTGAGGGAATTAAAAAAAAAATTATTTTTTATATATTGGGAATTTTTTTTTAAATATAATGTTTAATTTTTTATATTTTTTTATTTGTTTTATTATTTTATATAAAAATAATTTAATAATTCTTCACTATTAATCCTCTCACTATCAATCCCCTCACTAGCAATCCCTCACTATTAATCCCCTCACTATCAATCCCCTCCATTCTATCTCCCAAAACAAACGGGGCCTAGGGGTGTAATTCGGGCGGATTCGGTCAGGTTGGGAGGTTATTCAAGTTCAACCCAAGTTGTGCTGAAACCTGCCCAAACCCGCCCAAGCTCGAATTGTAACCCGAAATTGTCTGCCCAAGCCCGACCAGAGTTAAACCCGAATTGTCCAAGTTGCCCAAGTTGTAAATGAATTTTAGTTTTTTTTTTTTTTTTGCAACTATATTATTAAATTATTAAAATTTGACTCTATTTATAATTTTTTTTATTGAAAATCATTAATACCATCAAAACAAATAATTTATATAATGCAAGAAAGATGTCACAATAATAATCCTTACAATTTGAGTGAAAATAAAAAGAAAAAGAGTAAAATTTTATGTTTTTTGTATATATAATATATATTTAATATGATTTAATAATATAAATTACTTTAATATCATGTAATGACTAATAATTTATATGTATATTTAATATTTTTATATATCTATATATGTATAATTCGGGCTTCGAATTGTTCGACGTCTTTACCCAAGCCTGCCCAAATTTAATTCGGACTTCTGAATTTTTGTTCAAGCCCGTACCAAATTTAAATATATTTTATCCAAGCCCTAAAAAAATTCGGACTGAACTCAGATTACTCGGGTTGAGCCCGCCCAAGTTACACCCCCTAGTTTGAACCAAGCTTACAGATCTCGAAAGGCCCATAAGATTGCCAACTGATTTGGCCTGAAAAGATTGTGTATGGTCCGGCCAGCGTTTATGCCCCACGCATGTTTAAATAGAAAATTTCCAAAGAGCTGCAGAGGGAATATGGCACAAAATAAACATTTCAGATTATTCTTTTTAGGAACTCAAAACCGGATAGGGTTGTTAGCTACAACAGTATATGCGCCTAAACGAGAGATCCTCGTGCTGGGATGATGGTTTTCTGGTTTACTGCAATACATTTTCTTGTTACATTTATTTCTACCAAGAAAATGCAAATAATTACCTAAATAAAATGGTCAGCTATTGGCTACCGAAGTTTGGGAGGAACTACAACAAATGGAGTGAGAGAGAGAGAGATTAAATTACACAAACTGCACTCGTGCGCAGAAAATGACGCCACAACGAAATTTGATTGTAATCCAACATTTTCACCTCGTTCAAGACTGTTTCTTCACTCTAATGCCCTTCAAAATCGACTTTTGACAACTTCGAGGGGAAAATATAACCTAATCTATGTGCACTAGTTGGTCTTTGATATCTTGAAGGCTTCGCATTCTATCCTGCAATTTTAAGCAATCAAGGTTTAGTAAAACTGCAAAAACTTGCTACAATAAGTAATAATAAGTGCATCTCCAACGATGCATCAAATTTTTTATCAAATTTGAGTAAAAATTTCATTTAATATCAAGTGCTCCTACGGAGGTTTTGGAAGCTTCATCAGAACAACAGTCGACCGGGCGAATGTCTTGATGGTCGACCTTCTAGTGTAATTTTTTACAAATTTTTGCCTTAAGGTGATCATCCAAGGGGTTGACCAGGCAGACGACTAGGACGACGACCGGAAGTCGACTGGTCAGTGTAATTTTTCACAAATTTTTACCTTAAGGTGATCGTCCGGGAAACATCCAGTGGTGAAAATCAAACGGCTATGAACAGTGATTTGATGAAAAGCACATTGGTTCTCAGTTTGATGAAACAAAAGTGAAATCATGGATTTGATACCTATTTGATAAAACCGTTGAAGCAGGAAAAAGAGTGATTTTTCACCAAATTCAAATTTGATAACAAATTTCAGTAACCATTGGAGATTGTCTAGTAAGATGTGATTTGATGGAAGCTATAGGAGCTTGTTAGAGAAAAAACATGTACCCTTTGTCGACATCAGGATTCTTCAAAGGAATTAAACAAAGTCTTCACTAAATTCACCAAATATATTTGGGCATCTGTCCCATTTTCCATGTTCTCGTGCTTCCCAGTAACCACCTGTGTAGTGGAAGGGTCCGTCTTCACCTTGTCTTTCGAACCATCTGGGGTTCCACCCATTTTCTTGCAATTTCCTCGACTGTGAAGGATGATGAGAATAGAATGGTCAGGTTACTGCAAACTGCTGCACACATCTATTAGCAATTATTTGGAAACATGCACAAAAAATAAAATAAAATAAAAAATCATATGTATAGTAAAAAAGAGTGAACAAAAGCAATTAAAAATGATGCTCTGCATTTCAAACAAACAAAATGGAACAAACTCACATGTACATTGACATTCCTATCTAGCAGCCAGCCATATACCTAATGGCATTCTTGACATGCCATCTATTGACTTATTAAGCCATTCAATCAATTTATCTCACCTTTAGAATTTAATTATTGGTCTTTGGTTATTCAGCTATACTTGAGATTACATATATCAAAATGTTTTGGTTCCAAATCTCCTAACAGATAAAGAAGACAAGAATATGTTAAAAAAGAAGCAATAAATAAAGGTGCAAGATATACCATCCTCTGTCGCCTCTCCAACCTTAACTTCTCTGCATTAGCCTTCTCATATTCCCCATTCTCTAGACCACGTTGGTCAGGTCTGAGCCTTGAATCCGTGGGTGGAAGTTTCTCCTTAATCCGAGATCAAATACCCAGGATCAGATAAGGCTATAAAAGACAATTAGAGATGCATAAGAGGAAATCCATATGAAATTTTTGTCTATCCATCATCTCTACCTGCAACCCTGGTGTTAACTCATTTAGTGTAATTGCAAACGACGTCATGTTGTACCGAGTGGAACTACAAGGCTTACACCTTTTCCACAACAAAGAAGCATCTGTAAAATCCTTTGGTTTGCTAGTCCCATCTCCATTCATATAATGCAAACTGTCATCCCACTTCCCAAATAATGTCGCAACCTTTTTCCCCATGGAATCTTCAACAAATCCATGAACCTGTATAGTAAGCAACATACTTAGAATGGATCCATCACTAATGTTACAAAATAAGAGGCTTCAAGCAGATGTAAAGAAGTTTTGTAACTAAGAGACATATCAACCCAAATAAATAAAACATAAGAAAATACGATGAAACTGCAAAGACGAAAAGTAAAATTTAGTAAAAAATAGTAAAAACTCTTTATTTACCTGGTGCGGATTTCGGTCAAGAATAGACTGCTCTTTGAACTTGAGTTTGCATGAATATTGGCGATTACCACGTATGTGCATTGTCCCATGGTGATTAAGGTACACTTTACCGAGGATAAGATTACAAATGGATGTTGTGACCTGAGAACAGAATAAACAAGTTTTAGGAGGGTGTTCCATAAAAGTAAAAGGAAAATAACAGAAGTAAAATTAAAACAGCCTAGCATTCCTTATTCTGCACAAACACAACCATATCACAGTGCACACCTACCTTGCTCCACTGGAAAACCTCACCATCATCAAACTCCAAGGTTAGAGTTCCAACAGGGTCAAGCTGAATTGATGTCCCCCAAAATTTGGTTCTAAGGTTACTGTCACCCCAGAATTTCCAGCCTTTTCCTTCACAATGGCAGGCAACAACTGTTGGGTGGTGACTAACCTGTTTCGACAAATAACAAAGACAGTATGACATAATAATCATGATTAACAATCCAACATTCAAGATGAAAAGAGAGCCAAAATTATTCAAAATCTGCCTAAGAAACATAAAGATAGTGTTGAACACATTCAGCCCTTGTGGAAAGGCCTCTTCAGATGTAAAATAGTTGTTCCCACCATTTTGTTAAGATTCGTCATTCTAAATTTGAGACATTTTCTTCCACATTTTTGCTTTGATTTCATGTTTGTCAGTTTTTTCTTTTTCTTTTTTTTTTTTTTCTCCTGTTTAAAAATTTCATCATATCAGTTTTTGCATCCAAGGATATACAGAAACTCTGCCATGCAAATTTTTAACCCTCATCTGAATATGAAAATTCAAACCAATTATTAGACCATTGTTCAATTTATTCAACATCAATGATTCTCTTTTCTGTAGATACTGACCTTCTCAGAGAAGAAGCGAATTCCTTTCTCAGGATAATCAGCTTCATAAGTTTCCCCTAACAAAGGATTAAAGGGTTTACAATGCCGACCTTCAGATGAAGCATATCCAGACACAGCAAAAGAAGCAACATCCAGAATTCGCAGGAGACCATTTCCCTAGAAGCATAACACAATACCACAAGAAAATGTTAAACATCAAAATATTTGAAAATATTCTTTTTTTTATGTTGAAAACATATCTGAACTGAATTAATCATGCCAGTAAAGGAGCCATTAAAAAACTAGATCTCAAAGGTGTTCCACAAATAAACCTGTAAACAAGGAAAAACAAAATTACTTCCTACAAAAAAAAGACAGTGATAACTTATCAAATAAAAATATATATAAAAAAGGTGTCTGTTATATGCATAAATGAAAAAATAACAATTTGGCGGCTGTTGTACTACGTAATAAAGATAGGTAGTTCAATTTTTTCTCATAATGCTATAAATTCATTAGATTAATCAGTCTAACATAATACTAAGAAATTCTTAACAAACTTGTATTAATAGAACAGCAAAAAGTGGCTTGACTGTTAACTCATAAAGTGAACACTGCTACATTGATAGGAAATGAATGAGCAATTTCTATATGCACAAACCTATCTCGCAGTCACTGATTTTAGATGCTGAAGTTCTTGACCTTCAACCATCCAGAACGGTTCATTTGAGAGGACTGTTAAGGAGCCAATGGCACACAGCCTCAGAAACATGTTTTATAATTTGAATGAAGAATCTAGTAATCTTTGTAATGAGGAGGATATAATTGTTCATCCCATTGAGGGGACCTCAGAACAGTTCAAACTACACTTCATTCTTGAGTGTGGGCATTCTTAACTTTTTTAGACGAGCCTGTTCTTACTATAGGGGCACCACTATTGTACATTTGATCTTGTTGTCTCCAAGATCATAATTGAGAGCCATCAAAACAAACAAAGATACCATCTCCCACGCAGATTTATGAAGTATCTGGTTAATTTAACATGCAGAAGGTAAGTAGCACAAATCCATAAATATATCTGTGATGCTAAAGAGAGATAGAAATCAGATCATGTTTTTGGAATCTCAATGGAGTCCTAAAGATTAACAAGAAGAGGGAAAGAAAAAAAAAAAAAACAGAAAAGAAAAGAAAACCAAATTCTTATATCAAGAACAGAAAGGACTCTTCCAGGGCCCAGTGGGAAACACGATGGATGGACTCATTCAATTTCCTCAGAATGTTTTAAAAATCTCTTATGCATATACATAATGGAATACATTAGTAATATCAAACCAATGCATATCCAAACTAACCCACTTCAAACATCTAATAGAGGAAAAGACAATGCAATGAAATGAAACAGAAGACAATTTACAGACACTAGTATATACTACCCCCTAAGCAAAGACAATAAGAGGTAACGAACATATAATCATACCGCTTTTCCATGCTCATATGCACGATCCAACAGATAAGAATACTCCAAATCCTCAAAACACTTTTGTAAAGATGATATTGGCTCATTGAAGTACACAGGGAGACAAACTCGTGTTAGATCTTTTCCTACATTGTCTTTGATCATGGACCAAAGACTGACCCCTTTCTCCTTTTCGACCGGATCTGGAAGCTTCTTTCGCCTTTCAATTTGTGGATATGTGGAGCTAATAGCTTCCTTCTGAGCATTCAAATTTTTCCTATGATCAAATTGCTTTTCAGGTCCCATACACTTACTGATGTTATCTGCAACTCCAGCAACAGACCCACAACTAAGAGTTGTTTCAGAAAAATTCTCTATTGTGTCAAAATAGGAGGTATCATCTTCATCTGAGACGTCTTCAAGCTCTTGTTTCTCAATATCATCAGATGATTCAGTTGTGCTGCATTCTGAACCACAAAAACAAGATGTTAAGAAAATTAGAACAAATGCTAGAAGAAATGAAACTAGACACATTATATGGTTTTTTACAGATAAGAAAATGGACATGAACAACTTTGTAGGTAATTCATGACAACGACCAAAAAATATACATGTTTCATGTATATTCCTAAATTTCTTCAGTATATATTTTAGAATATACTTGTATTTATATACATACACGCATACACTGCACATATACTCTATACCATTGCTATGATAACTTTGTTCATGTTCCTCTGAACTAAAGTAGGTCTAGCTTATTGTGGTTTTCCATTTCTTCAACTTATGCAAGTGACTAAGAATGGCACAATTTTATACCTTTGAATCTTCTCTAAAATATTTAAACCAGCTTATCTCTCTCCAAGGGCACTTCACATGGACCAAAAGTTGGCACAAAAGATTGATGTTGGCCTTGAATGAGGTGCACGAGAAATAAGGGGAAGGAGAGGCAGGGAGGCAGAAGTTCACAAATGATGAAGATGAAAGACAAGAGAATACGGAAAACCAGATGCAAGATACCTAGTTTAACCAAAATAATTATTATGTTACACCCCAATGAGATTGACAGGCTCAACCCACAAAATCTAAACTGGTAGGAAACCTAGAAGGACAATTGAATATTTAGAAATAAAGTTTAACTAGATAAAAGAAATTGTATTGCCTCAAGGTGTAAGCAAGTGATAATATAATTTTTATTGCGACATAATTAATCTACTCCTCATTCTTAGAAAGCAATGACAAATAACAGTCTATTAATAAAAATTACTATGCAATCAGTATCAATATTTTTACATTCCGTATAAAACATCCTCTCTCAAAATCATTTATGGGGAAGACGAAGTCTATCAATCAATAGTTATTAAATGGACAATTGCGGTTACAATATTATAGGAATTACTGCATTTTGAGCAAACAATATATTTTTGAGAGAGAGAGAGAGTGAAACAGTAGAAGTAAATAACATATATCATGCGCACCACTATATTTTCCATGCCCTGGACAGGAAACTTCATGCTTTGTCAATTGGTATTCACTATCAGGAATTCCAGAGCCTTCAGCTTCTATATTGGCAGCCTGCATAAACAAAGGAAAGATGACTACCGTAACATTACAAATACCAAATAAATCACGCATTAGCATACCATTTGAATATTTTGTTAGACAGAAAGCACAGAGAAAAACAAGCAAACATAAAAATTGAAAAAAAAAATAATAAAAAAAAAATAACCTAAGCAGAAAACTATTGAGGAGAAATTCCCTGGTTCCAAATTGTTTTACTCTTCCTTTCTTTCAAAGCTGATGGAGTTTGGTCAAAAGATGTGAGGACAGTTTTCCACCAATTTTTCGAGTTCAGGGACTTAAAGAAGAGCCTCAACGCATCTTTCATTACCCTTACATTTTGACACTATTTTCTTGCGTCAATTGGATGTGTTCAATAAAACTTTGTTGGATAAATGACTTTGCAGCTTCGCTTCAGAGAATGAGAGTCTGTGGAGAAAAGTGAAAGACGCAAAGCATGGGCGAGATTGAGGTAACTAGTCTATGGGTTCAGTTGTTGAACCTTATGTGGTAAAGTTGTGGAATGGCATTGTGAGGGTTTGAGATGAGTTTGCTAAGAAAATTCTATTTAAGGGGACAATGAGAGGAGTGATATCTTCGCTAGATCCATGGTGCGGTCATAGATGTATGAGCAAGAGGACAATAACTAGGTTATCAAAATTCTACAATATGCATTTCTTTTATCCTTTTCACATTTTTCTTTTTCCTTGGTCCAGACTTAGTCTCCACACTATGAATTTGTAAGATGGTATCTATTGTGATAATCTAAACGACAATAGTTGTTTCTTCCACCAAATAACACAACACAAGTTGTTCAACCAAACGTAATTAGCTCAAAATGTGTTGCTCCACAACAACTGAGATAATTATGGTACGTACTAGTGGAAAGTCAAGAAACATGTCTATACAGAACGAAATGAGATGTTGGGAGGCCAAGACATGAATATGTCCCACCATGGAGAATTGCTCGTGGCCAAATAAAAATAGATAATAGCGGCATTTGATCAAGATAAGATGGCAAAGGTTGAATAAGACGCATCCCACCATGTAGAAATTGCTCATGTTACCAGCATTACAAGGAAAAGAGGAACACAAAACAGAATGTGGGTCCAGCCACGAGAAAGACGTATCATAAAACAATAATAACAAAGATGAACGGAATAAAGCAGAAGTTGAAAAAGATCCTGCATCAGCACAAATGGCAAGAGTTCAAGGTTTAGTAGTGTAGAAGTTGTGCTCCACATGCAAGAGAAGTAGAGTCACTATCATCTAGTCTGTCAATCAAAATTTATCCATAATCCGCAAAGATATCAGAATTTACCCCCTAGCAATTGGGATATATAGAGCTTAGTTTTGAGCATGTATATTACCACAAAGCAATTTCCACACACACATAAGAGTAGCGTCAGTATATCATATCAAGTCTATCAATCAAATTTGTCCATGATCTACCAAGATATCAAAATTTACCACAACCAATTGGGATATAGTAATTTCCACATACATAAGAAGTCACTATCATCAAGTCGGTCAATCAAATTTGTCCATGTTTTTTTTTAAAAAAAAAAAAATATTCAGTAACTAGATTGTGATTTATACTGCTATTAAAAAACAAATGTCACGATTTAGACACAAATCCAAAATGTAGTTTTATGCAATATCGGCACAAATTAGGGTAAATACTAAGTAAAATTTACCTCCAATTGCCTCAATGTGTCAAGCAAATTCGAGCGCTCTTGGCAAAGTAGTTTGAATTGTCCTTGTATTCCCAAAAACTCCGAGCGCATGATCTGCTCACAGTCCTTAACAAGCACATCGCTGATGCCTGCCTCAATCAATCGCTTTTTAAGCCTATCAGTTGATATTGATATATCACTTGGCACAAGAGAGAGACTATCATTCAATGGCCTAAGATAGAACAGGTTTCGAGATGAAACTAAAGCTTCTATCCAAGCCACCCGATCTCTCTTCGAACTGGTCCTCAGATGAAGGGTTTTAGTAGCAGTAAATATGTAAAATCGCCTATCGTCCGATTTGCTCTCCCTAAACGAAGAGACCTGCAAAGAAATCCAATAAGATTGGCAGAATTCATGATCTTCAATAACCTAGATTGACTATAATTCAATCTAAGCAGCTTTACTGCACTAAAATATGGAATTGAAATCAGTCTAAACAGAAAGTTGAAACCTTTTCCAACAAAATGCTACCTAAGAAAGAAAATAAAAACAGGCGACCTGAATTTGCAGGAACAGAAGCCGTGGAGTAACAAGATGACAGAAAAGCTCAGAAAATATATTTTCCCGGTTCCCAAACAGTCTCCAAGATACATAGAAAAGTAAAGCATTTAGATCTACCGTTGGATCGAAAGCAGAAAAGTTTGATCAACAGTGGTGTTGATAATAAAACGAAAGCTGAGATTTTAGCAGTGATGGAACCAAACAGGAGATCGGGAAGTAGTGAAGAAAACGATCCATGAAAGAAGAAAAATAAGATCAAACGAGGCACAAAATCACAAATCTTCTGATATCTCGAATGGTGATGTGACCACAGCTTAAAACCTAGGCCTACAGCGTAGGCTATCGTGGCCCCTAGTCACCTGTTGATGTGACCCACTACAGATGAACAGCCAGTTAAATTCCGTAAAATTAATTTTTAAAAAAAAGAAAATTAACAAAAATAAATAAATACTAAGAAAATAAAGATATATAGATACGTGTATATGGAGAGAGAGAGAGAGAGAGAGAGAGAGAGAGAGGTGTGGATGAGAGTGAGAGACCAGTGGTTAATGGAAGCTCAGACAACAAAGCTATTTGGTGAAGAAGATTTTCACAGAAAATTAAAAAAAATTGACGAAAGTAGAAAAAATTACTAGAGTAAATATTTTGAAACAAAGGTCTGAATATTTTGCCCAGAATGGAAAGTTTTGTGAAGTAGCGCCAAATACAAACAACGAGACTAATTACTCTCTCTCTCTCTCTCTCTCTCTCTCTCTCTCTTACCTTGAGATGAACGATGCAACCAATCTTGTGGTTCCGGCGTCTTCCGCCGGAGCTGTCGTGGCGAGATAGTGGGCCGGAGGAGACGTCGCCGATTAGCCGAACGTCTTCGCCGGCAGGGAAGAGAGCTAGGGTTTCGGGGATGAGGATCTTGGAATAGGAGACGACGCCATTTCGGAGTAGAAACCACCTCGATCTCCATCCCTTGCCGTAATTGGTCCACTTGTAGAGAACTCCGGCGAAGCTGGCCTCGGATCCCGCCGGACACCCCGCATTGCCGTCAGATCCGCCAGCAATCATCGTCGCCGGCATGCCGGAGCCGGTTCTCGATTGCGAAACTTCCGGAGACTGGTCTCCGATCCCCGGACTCTCCAGTGAGAGACAACATAGGGGATGCATTTCCTTCACTCGCATTTTGATCCACGAATTCCAATTCACAGCCAATCAAATCTCCATTTCACTCCCCCTCCCCAACCCTAAACCCAAATTTCAATATATATAGATGGGTAAAGATTTATATAGTTATTTGGGTTGGGTTTGTTTTGGAGGGAATGAGAGCAACAGAAAGAACATGGAAGGTGTTGAGGAGAGGAGAGAGACCTGTGAGCCAGTTTTGAAAATATGAGAGAGAGAAAGATGAATTTGGAAGAAATGGGATTAGTAAAATAAGCAGTCTCTTTGTTTTCGATCGATCATAAAATAGAGAGGTCTGGTGGCAGAATCGTAATTAACGGCGCTATTGAAGCAGACTTTGGTAGAGGGAAGGAGACTCCATTTTCTCTCACTACTACCATAAGAAGCAGCAGAGAGAGGGAGAGAGAGAGAGATGAAATGTGTAACATATAAATGGCATAATTTTAATTTTTTAAATCATAAATTATCGTAATTAAATATAATATAAAATATTAAATAATTTATGAATTATAATTAAATATATATTATATATATAATTAAATATGTATATAGTAAAAGGTATATTAGAATTTTTCGAGAGAGAGGGGTCGTGAGTTCTCGTGACTTATCGTGTATGAATAACACATGATATAATCAATTAATAAAAAAATTAAGGGAAAATTACATATACACCCCTCGAGGTTTGGCTAAATTACAAATACCCCCTGAGGTTTGAGAAATTACAAATTCCCCCCTGAATGCTATATTTGCATAAGAAATTAGGGGGTAATTTGTTATGAAATATAAACCTCAGGGGGTAAATTGTTATGAAAATACAAACCTTAGGGGGCGGGATGTAATTTCTGAAACCTCAGGGGTATCTGTAATTTAACCAAACCTCGAGGGGTGTATATGTAATTTGCCCAAAAATTAAATGGAGAGATAAATCTCTTTTTTAAGATGCAACATAAATTTAATAGAAAATAATAATAATTAATGATGGGAGGATGATATCATGTCATTAGCATTATCATTATATTTTTTAATTTTTTTTTCAATTTATTTAAATTATTTTTACTTAATAAATTATAAACATAAATTATCTTAATACCAATTTTTAAATTAAAATAAGTTATAGTTATCTTCTTTTTTTTATACAGCCCAAATGAACAACTGTCTGCTCATCAACCGATCGACCTCTGGTCTGTCTGCTCATCTCTAACTTTGCTTTCTCATTGCCAATCGACCTCTGGTCTGTCTTCTCAGTGCTCATCCCTAACTTTGCTTTCTTATCGCTGATCGAGCTCTGGTTTGTCATTGCACCAATCGACCTCTGTTTTTTTTTTTTTTTTTTTTTTTTTAGCTTTTTTTATTTTTTAAAAAAATATAAAAAAATAATGTAATTGAAAATAAATTAAAAATCAAAAAATTACTTTTAATTTCTTTACCAAAAGAAGCCTTTATAATAATGTTTAAACAAATAAAATGTCTATTAACAGTAGAAATGCTATGATAAAGTGTTGCTCGAAATAAGCGTACATATCGTTCAAAAAAACGAGACAGCCAAAAATTGATGATTAAAACAGTAAATGCCACACGTCTCACTTTCCCACTCACTCATCATCAAACCCACAATATAAATGTACTCGACTTTTTCTTTTTTCTTCGATTGGGGGGCACTCGTCCTTCTTCGAGCCGTACTATGGCCTCTTAAAGGATACTGCAAATAAATTGCTTACCCTTTGACATAAGTTAAAATAAAAAAAAAATTGTTAAAATATAAATAAAAGAATATAATATAAATGTTTAATTTTAATTTTTTAAATTTTAATTTTCTAAAAGTTAAATTTTTTATTTTTCATATTTTTTAATTTGAGTGAATATTTTTTAAATTTTAAGTAATTTTTCTTATTTTTTTAGATACATCTTATTTCGATATCTCTAAATAATAAAATATTTGTAAAAAATTATTTTAAAAAATTAATAAATACAAAAAATATATTGAATTTTTGTATTTGTTTGTATTCTTTGGTATTTAGTGTATTTTTGAAAAAAATCACAAATATTATACTTTTTAAGTATATTTATGTTAGGTATGTCTACAAATTAAAAAAAATACTTAAAATATTAAAAAAATTCATTGAAAATATTAAAATATGAAAAATAAAAAGTAAAATTTTTTAAAAACTATTTTCTGAAAAATGGAACCAAACAAATACTTTTTAACCTAATAAAATAAAATGTCACATCCAAACTATAATCATTTTATTTTTTTCTCTCACAAAAGTCAAAAAAATCAAAAAAATTCATCACAAACGAAATTTTTTAGCCCAGACTTCCCAAAATAACGTCATAGATAAATATACCTCCCCAATCAACCAAACATAAAGTAACTATTCAAAAATATTAGTTTTAACCCCCCCAAAAAAATTAACAAAATTAGCCTTCATATCCCGGCCCAATCTTTTGTGGGCAATCCCATTTAACCCGAGCTAAATTTAATAAAGCATGGGTTAGGCTTAGACCGAAAATCTCATTCTCAAAAATTGTACCTAAGTAATTCTCAACATTACTCGATTTTTTTTTTTTTTGATACAACGGAAATAAAACAAAAACAAGAGAGTTAAATTCTTTCCCTTTCTATCCCTAGCATGTCTGCAACCAGAAGCTTCCTAATCTCAATAGAGGGGTCATTGACCACAAGATATCTTTTGGTTGTACAGCGCCCAGCTTGGTAGCATCCGCGTAGAGGTTGCATTCACAATAAACATGTTGAGCAGTGCATTGACAGCCATTGAAGATGATCCTCATATCTTCTACCAGACCTCTGTAAGGATGTTTCTCACCAGGGCCTTTTACTAGCAGCTTCACAACTTCTTGGGCATCGTTTTCCACAATCACTTTGTTAAAGCCTTTTTGGAGAATTATTATGAGACCTTTATACACTGCCTATAATTCAGCTTCAAGACTGGTATAGCTGTCCATCCTTCTGTGGTAGTCGCATATCCAAGCACCCCTCTCATGAGACCTCCAAATCCATTTGGTCTCTTACTCCATTTGCTTCCATCTATATTCAGCTTTAGAGTACCAACAGGAGAACGAGACCATTCAATAAGTCTAAATGAGAGTCTATGATTAATAATAGATAAGCTAAAAGCAAGATCAATTTCGGTGGAGTAATTAAGAATAAACTTCAAACTCTCAAACTGGGTAACCAATTTGTTTTCAAAAACTTTAAGGTTCCTATTTTTCTAGATTTTCCAAAGTGTGACCAAAAACAGTCCATATTGCCTTGGCTTTGTGGCATGCTCTAAAGACATAGTTGAGGTCTTCATTTTCACTGTAAAATGGGCAACAAGAGTTATTTGAAAGCCTTCTTTTCGGTCTCATGTTGTTAGTAAGAAGTTTGCCATGTAAGACGGTCCACAAAAAACCTTTCAGTTTTTGTGGAATTTTCTTTTTCCACAACCACTGCCAATCCTCGTCTTTCCCATCATAATCAGAAGCAATTTCAAAAGCACTAGAAATGGAAAATGTGGCATCAAAGGACCCTTTCCAAACCAAATGATCCAAGTTGGAATTATATTTAGGGGATTGCTCTTTGAAAATAGAGGCTGCTACAAATTGAGGGAAAATTTGATTAACGATAGTTACATCCCAATCACCTTCCACATCAGTGATATCCCGGACCTTGGATAGAAATAGGAAAATGTTAGGGATACCAAATTTTTTACCAAACAAATGACCAAATGTCTCACATGGATGTGGGGTCCACTTTTTTGCAGACCCCACACCCATGTGGGACATTTGGTCATTTAGTTGGTAAAAAATTTAGGACCTATATAGCATTTTTCATAGAAATATTGCGTGGTGTGAGAGAATTTGAGGTCATGACTTCCTCAATAGGTTTCTCTCCACACCACCAATCTTTCCAAATGTCAACAATAATGGCATCTCCACCTTTTTTTAAAATGTTTCTAGATTTCAACATTCCTCTCCACACATGAGAGGATCTACTATTCTTCTTACAGTTCAGAAAAGGTTTGCCTTTCAAATACTTGGCTTTCAAAACCTCAGTCTACGTACCTCCCTCATTGTTAATGAGTTTCCATCCCAACTTTAGAAAGAAGAGCTAGATTATGATCTCAAGCCTTCCTAATGCCAAGTCCACCATGCTTTTTCTTTTTGCAAACCTCATTCTAATTAACAAGATGAATTTTCTTTTTCTTTAGGGTATCACCCCAAAGAAATTTCTATTCATCTTGTCAATATCATTGCACACCCTTTTGGGTAACTCCATAGTTTGCATAGAGTAAGAAGGTACAGTAGAAGTAACAGATTGAACAAGAGTAGCACTTCTTGCCATAAAGAGAACATTCATTTTCCAACCAGCCAACTTGTTCTGAAGTTTTTCAAGGATATAATTAAAATGGTTCCTGGTCACGCTTTTATTCAAAAGGGGGACACCTAAGTACTTACCCAAATCAGTTGTTAATGAAATGCTACATCTAGCACTAGATCAGTGGCCTTGCTAAGATTAAGGTTAGGAGACACAAAAAGTTTAGATTTTTGGAGATTGATTTTAAGTCCAGATATGAAACTAAACACATTCATAACTTCATTAATAATAGCACAATTTTTTGTATCAACTTTTGCAAAAAGAATTAAATCATTAGCAAAAAAGAGGTGGGTGATACAAGGTCCTGTTGGACAATCTTCACTGTATTTAAAATAATATATTCTGTTTGGGTACTAAATGACAAGGAAAATGTTTGGTGGCCACAAATTCTGTGGCTCAAATGGCCCGAAACTGCCAAAACGACATTGTTTTGGGTGTTTTGAGCCATTTGAGCCACAGAATTTGTGGCCCCCTAGCATTGCTGAAACAACAAACAGAATATAAAAGAAAATAGGAAAGGAGAGAATTTGTTTGATTACAAAAATCAAACCAGTAAAATAAATAAAAACAGATTTTATTTTGTTACAAAAACAAAATTAAAATCTAATTTATATAAATCAAAACAGAAAATAAATAAGTAACTTACTTGATTAATATCTTGAATATTATTCTGATCAAGTCCAGTGTTCGAAACTGTTTCCTTAAGACAGATTCGTCCTCTCCACGGTGCTTGCAGAAAATGGACGTCTATCTCCCAGGATGAAATGATCAACTACAAATAAATGTAGCACTACAATTTATTTGTTCAACAAACACACGTGTTTACACTCTTTCTCACAAAAATTAAATGCAGCAAAATGAAGAATAAATTTACAGAGGAGAAGTACGAAATTTCTGAATCTCAAGCATCAAATGAGGGCTGCCTATTTATAGATGTAGTGGTGGCTATTGATTTTGAATTAAACAGGTGCTAACTTGTTTTGAACATGTATGAAACCTGTTTGGTTTTGAATTAAACAGATTTAAATTTGTTGGGTTCAAAATTCAAACAGATAAAAACGGAAGGGACCTGTTTGGGTGTAGAGAAAAACCGGAACAGATTAATTCCGGAATTAATTTGAATTCTGGACAGTTTGACAGATTTTATTTCAAAAAATAAAATTACATCCAAATGTTTCTGGCCCAAAAATATTAGTATTGGGCCGAACAAACCCAACCCAACCACACACCTGCGCCTAAGCCCAGCCCTTCCGACCGGACGACAGAGGCGGCGCGCGCGCGTGTGTGGTGATTTTTGGGTCTAATAAGTCAAGCCCATTTTGTCCATAACCCCCCTCTCTACAAAACTTGGGTACCCCTTAGGGCACACCCCAAGTTCCAATCCCTTGCCTTATAAACCCATTCAAAACTTCCCACAAAATCAATGTGGGACAAGCCATTTTCCAACCTTAAGGAATTTTCACCAAAACTCCATTTCCATGAAGCTCACTTTGGCTTCAATTTTCCATTCACTCGATAATGGTTTTGAGCAACCAAATATACCACGTGAATCACAATGCGGCATAGAACGCGTTACCACTTTGACCCGCCAAATTTGACGCTCAAGTCCCACCTAAATAATAAACCAAAGTTTAAAAAAAAATTCTAATTTTACTCAAAATTTTTCAACCATTTCCAACCGATCCTTCCTCTAGCAATAGAGATTCATTTCCATCTCTTTTACTCGATTTGATACCACCTAACTTGCACTCCATTCCCTACCCCCATGGAGTCAAAGGTTGAACCTCAACCAACAAAAAGGGCAACCATGTCAATTCAAGCAAAGCTACTAGAAGCCCACTCAATCTTCTTCTTCTTCTTCTTCTTCTTCTTTTTTTTTTTCTTTTCTTTAACCTTTGACTCCTTTTTTCAAAGAGACTAGTATATTTTCTCTCTTTTGTGTTTGAGGCCATAATTTTCATTTTTATTTTTATTTTTTTGGTTTCATTCTATCTTGCTGGGATTTTTCCTTTTAATTATTATTATTATTATGTATCTAATAAGTTGTAACAGAAGGTTAAGGCAATAGTTTAAACTTGTTTTGACGAAGGATATGAATACTACATAGGATAAGATTTAAAAAATTTATTGCAATTTAGTGCAATCCACACACTGTTTTTCTATATTCACAATATTGTTGGTCCAACATTTAATCTAAAATGAATAATATGCTACAAAACAAAGAATTTGGTACAGTTGAAATGTGATAGTAAAATGATTAATACAGTGGTATGTTTTTATAATTGAAAAATTGTAAATCACTGATAATTTCATCAAATATTTACAAATTTATAGAAAAAATTATAATTTTAATTATTAAAGTTGATAAAATTTTCACTAATTTGAATTTTTTTTAAAAAAAATATACATTGATTTGCAATTTTTTCTTTTATAATTCAAAAAATCCACCAAGGTACTATTATTCGCATAAAAGTACCACTATTGGATGCTATCATTGCATAAAATAAAACTATTCCCATAAAAATTGTAAAAAAATAAAATAGAGAAACTTTTTTTCAATTGGTTGTCAATTAGTTCATGTGAAACATTTCATTTAAGGTCGACTAAGAGAAAAGAGAACTTAGCAAAAAAAAATCACATTAATTTGAACAATTATTCTTAAATTATTGACATTAATTCACTTTTCTTATTTGTGATGGAATATTACACTTGTTGGCACACACGTGATTAATTGAGATTCACTCAGTTACCATGCAAAAAAACATAACTAATCATTTTGAAAATATTCAATAAAATACAAAATACAATCAATTGTAGTAGACTACTACTTAAGCAAATTGTGTTTACAAATATTTGGTGTCTAATTCATTAAAAATCTTAATTCTGTTTATAGTTTGGAATAAAATAAATTAATGTCAATAGTTTAAGAGAGTAATTATTCAAATTGATAATTTAGAAGGAAAAAAAAAATGACCCAAGTAATAGTTTAAGGAGACAAATTGATTTTTCTCCATAACTTAATTTAGATTTACAGTAGTACAAATCTTAACACGTTCATGTAATTTTCTTCTTTGTGTTCCTTAATTCTAATTGTATTAATTTTACATTTTAATTTTTTATATTGTGTCTATTTATTAGTCTCATTGATAAATTCATTTTTAAAAATTTGGACAAAAATGAAGGACACAATGATCCATTCAAAAGGAAACATATATCATTTCAATTTGCATGCTAAACTCTTAATCATTTCGAGGAGAGTGAATAAATTATTTTGTCTTTTGATTTTAGTCAAATTTCTTTAGGGAGTTATTAATTGAATTAAATTAATATAGTGTGAAAAATTTAAGGATAAAATTGATTCAAATAGATTACAATATCTAAATTATTAATAGAGATAAATTATAGAGACTACAAATATAATTTGTTCTATGTTGTCTTTTGCATAATATTTGAATTAATTTATTCTTAGGAATAAATTTACTGCATTAGAGCAACCTTGAAAAAATAAAAAATAAAAGCAAAATAAAATAAAATAAAATAAAAACTCAGCATCGGAAACATGTTTTTTCAATATTTGTTGTTTTATATCTTTGAGAAAGAATTATACACCTATTCTATTGTGATTGTTAATTTCTGACCATGCACCCAAACAAGAAATTTAACTGGAGAGCATGCAGCAAAATATATTAAACCAACAATCTGTCAACAAGAAAATGAAAATATCACGGTGGTTCGTCCACCCAAGGGCACTCTGACGATCAAGTCAGTCAAATAATCTCTCAAAGATACCACATAAGTACTTAATGTACAAATTAAAGCGTACCTTAAACACACAAGGGTACCCCACATTTATAACTAGCAATGACCTAGTCCCTAGAAGTCTCACTTCATAGTACTCAGCCACGATGCTCATCTTGGACTCTCAAATAGATAGGGATAAGCTCCTCAAAAGTCTTATCTTTATCCAGACTAAGAGTCTTCTCTTATCTAGGACTCCTGTCCTCTATTCAAGTGTCTCGGATTTCGGCATTACCACACCGAATCTCGATAACACCGCAATCACCTCGGCAAACATTGTTGGAAAAATAATGATTTTTTAGTGACTTTAATACAATATTAAAGTGGGTGCCAATCCTCAATTGAGGTAGAGTAAACTAGTTTCAGATTCTTTGTAGTGAGATCTTTACACCACAAAAAGAATGACCAAAAACCATTAAGGTTTGAATGAGAAATTGACTCATTAAGTTGGCCTCATGAAAGAGGTGTTAGAAAAGGTGTAAAACCTTGTATCCCACATTGATTGTAGATGAGAACATTGGTGGGTATTTAAATTCTATTTTTTGCCTTAGGGTGTAAGCCCTTTCGGGCATCCAAATTTTCCGAATGAAGGGAGTCATAGATGCTTCAAGGATGAATTTGGGCCAAGATTATGGTCTAAGTTATTATGCAAAAATTCCATACGCCCGCGCTCGCTCGCTTGGACCAGGTCTGGGTCTATGGATCATGATTCTTGGGACTTGGGCTTGAGGCTTGAGGCTTGAGGGAATGGATTGAATGTAAGGGTTGGGCTTGGCCCACCCATCTTAATCTTTTTAGGCCAAGCCAGGTGTAGACACCTCACTTTTGATTGCCCACAAGACTTAGATCGGAATCAATCAGGCTTTCGAAATAGCTTCACATCTTCAACATTTACCTT